CCTCAGTCCAGCGGTCATCCAATCAGGACCTCCTCGCTAGGGATCTTCAGCGTACGACGTACCCTGATAGTGGCATATTGAACAATGTGAACGGAAGTGCTCTTCTTGAATAAATGACTTTTTCAGGTGGGGTTCTATCGTCATGTGCCTAAGGGTTCTTGTTCCAATGGCACTTCTCTCGTGGCTCTTTTGCAATGATGATCCCAATGCGCTTCCGCTGGAAAAATCCTGCAGTACGTTTCATTTTCCGATTATTTCCTTGAAAATGGCCAATCTCTTCAGTTCTTTCACCAAAATTTTTACTCACAAGTGAGTTTTCTTGTCTTTCAGATGCCAAAGCAGTATCCGTACGATTTTTACCGAGCTTTTCCATTTGAGGACGCGAGGAGATATCCTATAACAAATTATTCCTTTGATTTAGAAGATTGAAAACGGATGTAGTTTTATATAGTACAGTTTTAAATTTAGTGTTGAAAAGGTTTCCGATAAAGTTTGCGAAACCTGGTCTAGCGTTTGTTGATTTCTGATGGTTGTTGGACCATTTACTTTTTATTTATTTTGTCGTGTTTTTATTATTGGTGATCTAGCGTTATCACTCGATGTGATTTGCTTTTCCATGACAGGTGGAAACTAATCAGGCTGGTAGGGTGAAATAAGCGCCTGAACTTTGGAAATGCTTTTCCTGGATGATTTCCTTGAAAGTGAGTGTTTTTATAAGAGGTATTTTCACGTTTTGGTAAACGCTTAGTGATTCAGTGCTGGACGAGCTCCCTGCTGAGCTGCGAGAACGATGCACGGAAATGCGACAGATCGATATGCAGGTTGAAGGTAGGGCAGTTTTTAGGGTTCATTTTTTGTTCGTGTGAGAAAAGTGTTCCGCTCACGGAGCATATTCATTAATAATGCTATAGTGCTAATGTTATCGGATAAATATAATAAAGAAGAGTGTACAATGGCAAATCCCCTTCCTCCGCTATCGACGGCCTCTAATAAGGTCCCGATGATTTCTAGACGTTTGTAGGTCACCGTAGAGTTTAACTCCCTTTTGGCTTACGACGCCTCCCTTCCCATAACTGTCACCAGTTGGTTGCAGTATTTACCTACTCCAGTTCACATAATCTAGTCTTGTTGCGCGGCGAATGATGGGGAGGGGGGGGGGGTAGATCTTAACGTGGCTGCGTTTAGCGCGGCGCCAACTCGTTCTTTTCTTCTCTATCTTGCGGCAGGCAACCGGAGTGTATCATACCGTTCGTGTTAACCGTTCCCCATCAATACTGGTCAGTTACCCGCTTCAACGGCTGGTGGAGAACGGGTTGGCGAAGCGCCAAACGCAACCGCTCTGGCAAGCCTCATTATCCGCAGCGAATCAGACCGCACCACACCGCGTACCGTTGCTAACTTTTTTGGCGCTCTTGCACTTCGGAGAGGCTTCTTCTTTAGCGCGAGTAAATGTTTGCCCTCTTCACCTTTCTCTGAGTACTGGTCGCTTCTCCACTCAAGGCTCAGCCTTAGAGAGCAGGTGGTTAGATTCCGGGCGGTTTTATCTTGAGCGTAAAAGGACATTCCAACAACTATTCTTTCCTCTGTTCTTTGAGGCAATCGTTTGCTTACCCTTTTATGCAAAACTCTCTACTATTGATCTATAACCTCCAAGCCTGTATGCTTTTGTTGAAGCTACGTTCATATCTCGCGAGCCGGGTCATTCACTCTTGCAATTCTCGAAAAGTGCAACTGCTGTCGACCGCACCCCCGCGAGTAGGTGTACTCCTTCAACTGCCAATTCAGTCTTAATCACAACAACACTTCTCTCGACCATTGCAGCAGTCCAACTTTTAGCGGTCAGATGTGGTCGGTTGCAGTCGCTCATCTGAATAGCTTTAGGCAGCGTTCAGACTTCGCGACGGCAGCGCTTCGGTCGCGCGTTCGACGCGATCGATGCGCATGCTTTCGACTGCATTGATCGCGTCGAACGCGCGACCGAAGCGCTGCCGTCGCGAAGTCTGAACGCTGCCTTAGTCGCGAAGTACGAATGCGTACCAGCTAAATTCCAGCTGTGTTCCTATTCTTACCCTATCGCAACCTCTTCTAAGTTGCTTATGCGAAAGGAATGAGTATTAATTACTTTTCCATAAATGGTGTGTATTGGCGAGAGATTTCAAACTCGGTGAACCGCAGCTACCATAACTGAGTCGGACGTAGAAGCCCCCCTCCCTAGACTTGGACGCCCACGTTTAGCGGATGAGACAGTGTTGTGAAATGCACATCACGCGGGCAGAACCGGAGTCGCTTTAACATGCATGGCAATCAAATTGACCTCAGGTGTAGTAAACTGAACCAAGCGCGCAGAAGAGTTCCAGTAAATCCTCGTACTGCGAAATTTTTCTGGTTTGGACTTTTAGCTTCAAGGAAAATGTGTATGGATCACTGTCTAATGATGAACTATGCCGTTTCCTCTTTAGCTGGCCTCGCGCAAAATCGGCAGGCTCTGATCGAATTTTTCGACTGCGGAGGACAACTCACTGAAGAGCAAAAGCAGCATCCGATATCAGGAGCTTCAAAAGGTATGGGAACGAATAGAATCTTTGACGACGGGTAATGCGTTTCCAGAAGGTCCAGTATAGGGCTACATTTCATTTCGTTGATAAGGATGGAAATGTATAGTCCAAGATTTCTTAATATTTCTTTTCTTCAGGAATACAATCGGCTTCGTCTCTTGGGAGAAATGAAAGTATCTCTTGCTGAACGAATGCAGGAGGTTCTAGAAACATATATGCAATATCTAGATAAGGAGAAAACACATTTCAAGTATGAACTAGAAGCTGATAATCCAGGCATTACAGAAGTCATTGAAACGCGTGAGTTTGCAGGTTTTTTTACTGTTTCAATTGATACCAATCTGTTTATTTTGTCAGGGTTTGCCAATTATTGCGAGTCGCTGATAGCACTACGAAAGGAACGAAAAAGAAAGCTGACCAACGGTTCCGTTGATAATTCCGGCGAACCTCAACCGAAGATCTCTAGGTATTTGCCAAAGTTCGGGTTTTCTTCTAATTTCTATTTTATAATTCGTAGCCTAGCTGAATATGGTCCAGCGGGATACAAGACAAAAGCAGTTGATAGCCCATAGATATAACTTAGAGATACATTCTGCAGCTCTCCCCTCTTTGCACGAGTAGCGCGGTCCGCATTCTCAAAGACTTTGTACCACTTTCGCGGCCCCACAATAAAATGCGAGCGCGCTGCGGCCGTCATAAGCCGAAGGAAGCCGCAAGCAAAAGTTGCCCCCCACCTCATCTCCGATGTGTCAGCGCTCCTACATCTACAGTTCTGTTCGCTGATAATGCTGGGGCTTGTCAAGAGGGCTTGGATCAGCGCGGCCCCAGCCTGTTCTGCACCGGTTGTTGAACCACACCAGCATAGAACAGTAGCTGGAAAACAGGCCGGTGTCGCGCCAAACTCAGCCTCGTGACAAGCTCAGCATTCGTAGCGAACAAGGATGTACGTTGGTTTGTACATGTTGCGTTCATTTCTGCTTGAGAAACTGTCATTCCTGTAAGGGATTCATTCCTGTTTCTATGGTCTCGCTCGTCTTCCTGTTCTGTAGTCTTTCACTCCCATTTCTAAGACGGCCACAGTTTCTCTCTAGTTGGATGCTCGTTCGATAGCGAGGTTCTGTTCAGGGCGCTTTCGAACATCTTTTCCGTTTTTGCCTTGATGCCAAGCTGCCTAGCATAGACGAGTTTATGTTTATTTTATGCCCATGAATTGCAGTTGCAGAGTGTGTATTTAAGGTGTTCCGTACCCTTAGTTTTGTCCCTCACTGCATCTTTAGGGCCAGTGATGGAAATGCTTTGAGCAACTACATCCGCAGTGAATTCACTCTCGGCGATGAGGAGGTTTGCAGCTTTGCACTGCTTAGCTGTTTTACATTTGTATCGTTCTGGATACATATTCTTTATAGATAGAATCTCCAATGGTATCTGGTGCAGGACCAATCCGAATGAAAAAATCTTCCAATCTAGATGAGTTTAATCTGATGAGGGTAAGTCATTTTGTGGGTGAATGGTCTAAATTATCTCGGAAATATAATATTAGCCCATTTGAAGCCTTCTTGATGACTGAATATTTCATTTTTAAAGCGGCGCCTCAGCTTCCTTGGGTTTGAAGACATCCCATTCAGCACCATCTACGGTGATTCCAAACGCTGTCTCTCCAGCTGTGAGCGAGAAAAGTGGGAAATGTTTTCATTCTTTTACAGTTCTTGTTATGGCAAGACTAACAGAATTTTCCAAAAATTTTGCATTTAAGGTTGGACTCCTCTCTCTAGTCTACCTGTATTGGAAGAGTTGCCCCCTCCTTCGGTACTGACGCCCTCGGTACGTTTTTCATCTCGAATGTTGTTTATATTGTGTTTTCTTAGGAGCTGAAATACATCCTCCCTGCCTTTTTTTGGGAGACGGACAAGTCATTAACCTGCCGCGCTTCCATTCTTACTGGAAAAGAGCCCATCTTCTAGCGCCGTAGAAATACTTTCATTCATGTTGAATTCAATGAGTTAGTTCAGAGTTTGTGCTCGACAGCCAAATAACCCCATCCACAACACCTACGACTATGCCCACGTTTGTCGGGCCGGAAAGCCGTCATGGAAGACCTCGAAAGTAAGGCGATTTCCCGCATTTGTTTGAGATTAACACCTACCGCTTTTTTTCGCGCAATACCACATAGGGGGGAGGCATTTGCACTTTCGCTGCTTCACTAGTTCCGGGTGGCAAGTCTCACTCTGGTGAAACCTGTGAACTTTGTGAAGCTGGGGCAGGCTTGTCGAGCCACCGTGGTAATGTTTATGTGGTATTTAATTGCTTTGGCAGAGTTGACAAGTGGTCTCTACAAACTTAGGCTGATATCATGTGTCTTCACAAGCTTTTCACAGGTCTCCACTTATGGCTCGACAAGTAGACAGGAACTAGCAAACGTGCAAAATGCCCCCCCCCCACTTTCCTATATTGTTAACCATTGACTCTTCTGCTCACTGCATATAGAATATCCATTCAGATTAACATCACGTGTGCAGGAAATGTTCAAGGAAGCAGTGCAACGCCAGCGGCACCATTACCACCGAAGCGTTGACACCCCCCATACTGCTGAAGTTAGCACGGAAGAGGATGAAGAAAGTAGGTTCCTCATAATTTTTAGGTGGGTTCAGAATATTATGGTGTTGTGTCGCAGTTCCAGCATCTGAAGAAGATGACGAGGAAAGCGACGATTCAAAACGAAAATGGTGCTTCTGTAATGAGAAAAGCTACGGTGATATGGTAGCCTGTGATAATAAGGCGGTACGTGGTCTCGTTTAGACTTGCTGACCTCATTTTGGTTCTGCTTGTAGTACCTATTGATGTTTATTTTTAGTGCCCTTATCAATGGTTCCATTACCCATGCGTAAACATATCGGCAACTCCAAAGGGTCGTTGGTATTGCCCTCATTGCTCGGATGAACGTGCCAGAAGAAGTGAATCAGGAGATTTCAACGCTGTTTCCGCTGCGGCCGTATTGTAAAGTGTTGGGTATTTTGTACTATTGCATAGCCCTTGTCGGTTCAGTTCTGCCAACCAGTTATGAGTGACAAAGGATGTTCAGGATCTAATCTAGGTTACCTTTACTGTAGTGTATCTAACAGTTCTAATGTATCGAACATACAATCTTCATCAGTTTCCCACCATCTCATTGTGATTATGTAGTTGGGAGGAGGCATGCGATAACGCGACAGAGTTCGCAGTTTTGTTCCGAGACGAATACACGTGGACTCTGGTAATCTGCGCTACTCGGGGAGTATGTTCATACTTTGCAATTTGGTCACTCTAATCGCTCACCATTGGCGCCGACCACTAGCTCCATGCGATTAGAGCGGCAAAATCGCAAAGTATGAACGGAGTTTAGCACCGAGTCTGCGGAGTGGAAGGGAGGACAGACCATGCTGCGTTAAGGTTGCGAGTGTGGAGGTTCGGCAATTTGGGAGACTCGGCGTTACTGATCAGTACCCATCCACTCCTTTAGCGCACAATCGCCCAAAACCCGGAGTCTTCCGAATCGCCGGATCGCTCAATCTTTGCAATCGCTAGGATCGATACTACACTTTCTTCGTCGCGCTGTCTCTCAAATCGACGGATCTCCTCAGTCGCAAGCTGTGAACACGGGCTTAGACGTGCCGCTGTTTGACCCCCTCAACTACGTTAGCACTCCTTTCAATGCTTCATTCATCCTCCTTTCTTAGCACTCTTATTTATCCGGGTAGGTGATGAAGCTATCTCTATTTGTGAACCAAAATCATTTATTTATACATTTCATTCCTTTCACAACTTCACATTTTTTTTGTCTGCACAGATAACATCACTTGATAACGTTGCACAGCATGTAGCACATACTCACAATGTTTTGCACTAGCATTGTTTGATCTTGTTGTCAAGCACTCCCCCCCCCCAGTCCGTTTTGGATTCACTAGCACGGTATTTTTAGGCGATCTCTGCCGTTTGGTGTTAGTATAATGCACTAAAAAACGTTTAACTAGTTGGATCGCATTTGAGCAGCTATTGCTTTTTTCTCCGTTGACACATGATCTGTCTTTATATACCCTGGAGGTGTAACCCTCCATTGATATTTTAATATTTTAATATTGTCCGTGTCATAGATTTTGTAATTGTACATATAATGAATATTATATAAGTTGTGTTGTACTCTATGCTAACTGGTTACGTACAATTGGAAATAACTCGATTTGCCTGACCCTAAATAAAATATGAGGCGACCCGGAAGTGTCAGATTTCACCACATGATAACGTACGTTACCGTGACCTAGATAATTCGGTGATCATTGACTTTTCTATTGCTGTTGTTGTGACCACCCACAACTGCTGGGCGCCATTTTCTTAAAGAGACGACATTTTCCTGTTTTTGCGCTAGGAACCAGAATTTTGCTCAACTTTCCAGGGGAGAGATGTTCTTCATTTCTGATCGAGCTATGTTGGAACATTATTGTCCATGGGATTCATATCATATTGAAGTTCCTCAGAGGCTTGAAACTGTGTTAAATACCCTGGAGGTCAGGTATTTTTACCATTCCATTGAATTTTACAGTGTAGTCAGGGTACAGCATTGTAATGTGTTTAATGGTGGTAACCTTTTTGCCAGCTTCCTACCAGTTTTTTAGATCTCCCGTAAATTTTCTCCTTTCTCCAAAATTTGCGGGGGTGGGGGGGGGTAGGCAGAGAGTTAATCGCAAATGTGAAACTGCATGCACCGCGAAAAGTCAACGACTGGGAAAAATTTTTCCCAACGAACGAATTTCTTTCAGAGGCACGACCCCCCCCCCTCTCCCAACAACGTCTATATACGCTTCCTTCCCTCCCTAGCGGCCAAGTACGATCCCCCCTCTTCCTATGTGTTTCGCACAACGATGCTGTACTCTGAGTGTAGTGAGACATCGCTTTCTGAAGGCTTTTACTCATTACAATTTTTTCCTTTCCGCCCTACATCCCTATACGTATACGGATGACGTTTGAGTTGAGGTCAAGAGGCTCATAAGGTGCACAACATCGATTTTAGTCGTACTCTGAATTAGATTTAGGTTACAGCGTAAAAAGCCACAGAAGTAAAGAGACCAGGGCACGTACTGCCGTTGCGGGTAATTTTTGCAAAATAGGATTCTCCCTTCGATTTCCTCTTGCAAGTCCAAAATCCTCTTGCAAGTCCAATCCCATGGAGACCAAATTTCACGCGAATTCGGTAGTCGAATCACATTTTAGCAGCAGGCTGTGGCCGCAGCCAATGGCTATAGACTTTGTTTATCATCCACGAGAGTGCTGAGTATGGGCAAAGTCGAACCCCAGGCGGGTGTCGAACCCGCACCTCACGCTTTCCGAGCGGGTGCGCTATCCGTTACGCCACCAGGGCCGCTTTAACCCGGCTCATTCTTGTGATAACATTCAGAACGCGAACTACGGCGCAAAACAACTTCGAAAACTTTGTTTTTTTGTGTTTAAAGGTCAAACTAGCCCTGGGAAGATTTTCACCCGAATTTGCCCACGTAGAAAAAAAAAGGGAAAAATGATCTGATTCCGGAAGACTAGGGTAGGAATAGTTCAATGATGCGGAAAGGTGAACTCCTGCTTGCAGTCGATCAGGATCTTGTCTCCCGACTTTCCTTCCAGGAGCCTGCCCTGAAGTATTCACTCCACTAAGTCGTAATTTAGTTACGGTTGTTCGGTTGAGTGAGTGGTATATAACGAACGTTAAGATTGGCGCTCAGCTATTCTTTTAGCTCAGCTACGTTTGTATTGCCTTTTGTGAACTTAGATCGCAATACTCTCGCCAGAAGGTAGGTGCTCGGAACAATCACTTTGCTAACTAACGTAAAAAAGTCACATTCATTCGTCATCATATCGCATTACAGAAACTTGAATTTTCGTCAGAAATAGAGCTACTGCAATCTCGAACAGCCACTGAAGATGAAATTGAAATGGTTCATACAAAGGATTATATATCCGAAATTAAACGGACCACAAATATGAGAGAGGTTGGTTGTAGTTATTGTAAATTTATTTTTCAGTTGCTCCTAGCTTAGCAGTGATAGGTTGGAATATGCAGCATTTGTCGCTGCCGCTGCTGAAGTTCCCGCTAAGGCCTTCGTTTTGTGTGTAGTTGTTGCACTCGAGCTCTCAAGCTTCTTTAAGTTCATGAGGAATCTAGTTTTTTCTTGGCACGTATGGCCCCGAATTTCAGAAGGAACTAGAAGAGTTCTCCTCGAAATATGAAGATATTTACGTGAATAGGAACACATTTGATGCTTCACTGTTGGCTGCAGGCTGTGTTTTCCAGCTTATAGACGCCGTTCACCAAACTGGGTCAGTTTACCGATGTTGTAAAAAATTTATTGAAAGGCAGTTGGCACGATAAATCCCAAGACGACTAGGATTGACACGCCTGGCAGGACGGGAATCCGCGACTCTGAGCAGGCGCTGTGTAGCGCTTTTCCCAAGGAAAGCACCATTGAAAGGACTCTATCAAGCTACAACATACCGACCCGGACGCCCACCGCGCCCGCCCGCCCACAAATGGACGACCGTACCTGATGCTCGTATTGCTTCATTTGCGAAGTAAAATATGAAGCGAAGGGATTGATATGAAGCGGCGCGGTGCTGCATGGATATATGGTACATACGTGCAGTCGTACTACCGTAGCGGTTTTCGGCGAGATGCCTATGGGAAACTCGTCCAAAGTTGCTTTTCGAGTACGAAGGCCTTCCTTCACAGTTCGTTTTTTCGCCATTTTTTCCCCACTGTATAGCGCCCTGCTAGCATTTTGACCGAGTACCAAATAATCGTGCCAACTGCCTTTACGCATTCCACCATTACTTAATGGGTGGAATCCTTTCGCGTAAGTGAGTTTAATCGTCAATGACGAGAGTGCTTCTGAATCGTCTTCGTGTTCTCTCATGTCTCTCGTAGCAATGCCTTGCTTCCTCGGATACTCTTCCGATTCTGGGCTCATATTTGGAACTTATTCGACGGTTTTGCCCACTCTTTTCGTCCTTTTTAGTTCAGATTGCATGTAGAGAAATCGTATTCGGATCCCAAAGGCCATGATTTGTAATTTGGGAATGGGTCGTCTACATAATACAGCAGCATGTTCTGCTGATTAACTTGACGAACTACATAATTGTGGTATGGATAGGAAAGGGATAAAACTCCGGGACCGAAGAGTTGAAAGAAGCCATGGGGCGACGCGGTTATGTCACGCTATGTCTGCGTCCCTGTTACCGACGGAAGTGGCTCATGTACCTTCTCTAAAGACTTGAAAATAGGTGGCACGACGACAGATAAGATATCACGTATCAAGTGTTCCTATCCCCTCAGTTACCATTGTCCCGGCATTTGTGTAGATTATTGTTTCCCTGGGAAGTGGCAGAGTGAACACGGTATGGGATGAGTTGCTCGTGGGACATTTGGACAATTG